AACCGTGGGGGGGGGGGGGTGTCAGAAAGCCCCCATTCCCTCCACCCGCGGTGTCTCCGTACCCCTGTAGGAAATATCCAAAGAATTTTCGAGGACGGTGTCTCTGATAAAGCAGGTTTGATTCGCGATTGCAGTGGCGGCGTCCCGCAAGCAGGAGAGCACGCAGAAAACAGCGCTACCTCGTTCATTCCCAGTTCCCCGGCGCTTCTCTCTTACCGCCCCGGTTCTTCACTGGCTGAGTGCTGCAGGTCCACAATCTTCTCAACGCTTCACTGAGCATGGAAACACCGGACAAACACAAATTTTCGCTGCATAAGCGTCAATCTGCAGTGAATTCCCTTATTCCACACCTGATCGTTATTTTGCAGATACCCGCTTCTCCTTTCCACAAGGATCAGCCTGGGACGGAGGCAGGCAGCATCCTGTGCTGCCTCCACTGCCAGCTCACGGGCTGAGTCAGCCCGGCCTTGTGAGAGGCCCCGACTTCTGTTTGTAAACCTGTCTGTCTTTTGCTGGGAGTTCCTTATCCTCACAGCACAGCTGTGCAATGTTTTCTAATCCTCACAGCACGGCTGTGCAATGTTTTCCAATCCTTAGCAGGCTGTACTCGCGTTGTTTGGAACATTTGACAACTATTCCAGTTTTGCAAGAAAGAATTAATCACACAACTCAGTAATAATGTTTCTAAAACGTGCCACTAACACATGCAGTATTTTACTTCTTAGATCAACTCTTTCTAAGGACAAGTTACAGAACACAAATGCACGACGTTCTGCTCCTTCACACCGATTGCTCCTTTTTAATATCAAAGCAGAAACAACATTCCATTCCCACATCCCCGTACCCCCCCTTGCCCCCATCACACCCCCGTTCCCCCCTACAACCCCCCACCCCCGTACCCCCACCCCCCCACATCCCCACCCCGGCGCGGACGGCCGCACAGCGCGGCGCATTCCTATGACGTCACACCCGCGTGGTGACCATGGCAACGCCGGCAGCGAGAGCTGCGAAGAGCTCATCTCGCGAGAGCTCCGCCAGCCGAGCTCCCGTCGGCGGCTCGTCTCGCGAGAACTCGCGTGCCGCCCCAGCCGCCCGCTTCCGGTTTCATCATCGCGCGGCCATGCGGCTGCGGGTGGCGACCGGCAGCCCGGCGGCGCTGAAGGTCGTGGCGGCCGCTCGAAGCGCCGCGGCTCCGGTACAGCTCTGCTGGGCCGAGCCCGGAGGTGAGGCCTTCCCCCGGGGCCGCGTTGGGGGTGGGAGGCGGCGAGGCTCTTCCCCGGCCCGCTGGGCCTCCGCGGTCCCCCTCCCCCGACGGGCTCCCCGTCCCGCAGAGCCGCCGCCGTCCCCGCTGTGCCCCCCGTGGGCCCCCGCCCTGCAGCTGGAGAGCGGCGCGGTGCTCTTCTCCCCCAACGCCATCTGCCAGTGAGTGCGGGGCCGGCCGCCCGCCCGTCCGTCCGCCCGCCCGCCCTCCCCTGCAGCCCCGCCGTCCCTCTCCCCATCCCTCTGTCCCGCAGGTATTTCTTCCTGCGGCGCGGCCAGCAGCCCACCGACCTGACCGCCCAATGGCTGGAATGGGAGGCCACCGAGCTGCAGGTGGGGGCCGGGCGGCGGGGCGGGGCGGTGGCCGCTGTGCGACTCGGCTGTGACCCCCCGTCTGCCCGCAGCCCGCCGCTCTAGCGGCCCTGTACGCCCGCCTGGTGCACGGCAGGACGGGCGCGGAGGCGGCGGCGGCACTGGGAGGAGCGCTGGGCCACATCGAGAGGAGCTTGGCTGGGAGAGGCACGGCGTACCTGGCCGGGGTGAGCGGGGCCGTTCCCGTGCTTCGTGAGGGCTGCAGCGCGGGGCCGCGGCTGCCTCGGGGCACAGCTCCGCTCCTTGGTGCCGCAGGACGCCGAGTCGGTGGCGGACGTGGTGGTGTGGGGCACGCTGTTCCCTGTGCTGCGAGATGAAGCCGTGCCTGTGGGTAAGAGCTGCGTGAGGCCGCTCCTCTCTGCGCTCCCCGGCATCCTGGAGGGCTGCTGGGCTGGGAGCCGCGGGGCTGTGGGATTGCAGGTCCCGCTTTCCCTCTTTTACAGGATTTTATGGGGGAGGGGGTGAACTGGGTGTCTCTGGGTTGCCATCGTGCCGCTCTGTGTGCTCCTTTCCCTGACAGCTGAGCTGCTGCAGAGCTGGTTCCGGAGCATGACGCGCTCGGAGGCGTGCAGGAGTGCTGCTGACACCGTGCTGCTGCCGCAGCGCCTGCAGGAATTCACGGCCTGCCTGCAGAAGCTGCCCCCGCCGCGCCCACTGCCGGGCACGGCCGCGGGCTGTGAGGTGTGGGCTGGGGTGGGAGCACTGTGCGCACCCCCCCCTCCAGCCCCCCTCCAGCGCTCCGCCTTCCCCCCTGCAGGAGGACGACGTGTCAGAGCGGGCGCTGACGGAGGAGGACGTGGCGGCAGCTGTGGATGCCTGGAATCGCGGTGCTGCTGCACTGCCCAAACCCTGGCGGCCTCCAAAACCCGTGTGAGTGCCATTGTGGGGCTGGGGGGGGGTGGGACCCACAGAATCACCAAGGCTGGAAAAGACCTACGAGATTCAACCATCACCAATCACCAGTAGTTCTCACTAAACCACGTCCCTCAGCACAAAATCCAAACCTCTGGGGTCGGTGACTCCACCACCTCCCTGGGAGCCCATTGCAGTGCCTGACCACTCTTTTGGAGCGGTAGTATTTCCTGACGTCCAGCCTAAATCTCCCCTGGCGCGTCTTGAAGCCATTCCCTGTAGTCCTATCACCAGTCACACGAGAGAAAAGACCGATCCGCAGCTCACTACAACCTCCCTTCAGGTAGTTATAGAGAGTAGTAAGGTCTCCCCTGAGCCTCCTCTTCTCCACACTGAACAATCCCAGCTCTTCAGCTGCTCTTCATAAGATTTGTGCTCCAGATCCCTCATCAGCTTTGTTGCCCTTCTTTGAACCTGCTCCAGGGCCTCAATGTCTTTCTGGCAGTGAGGGGCCCAGAACTGGACACAGCACTTGAGGTGTGGCTTCGCCAGAGCTGAGTACAGGGGGACAATCACTGCCCTGCTCCTGCTGGCAAGGCCATTCCTGATGCAGGCCAGGATGCCATTGGCCCTCTTGGCCACAGTGCTGGCTCATGTTCAGCTGAGCACCAATCAACACCCCCAGCTCCATTTCCTCTACGCAGTCTTCCAGCCACTCCGCCCCAAGTCTGTAGCACTGCCTGGGGTTGTTGCAGCCAAAGCGCAGGACCCGGCCTTTGGCCTTGGTGAACCTAATCCCATTGGCTTCAGCCCAGCTCTCCAGCCTGTCCAGATCCCTCTGCAGGGCCTCGCTACCCCCAGGCAGATCCACGCTTCCAGCCAGCTTGGTGTCACCCACAAACTTCCCAAGGGTGCACTCAGCGCCCTCATCCAGGTCCTCAGGAAAGGTCTTGAGGAGGACAGGCCCCAGCACTGAGCCCAGGGGAACGGCACTGGTGGCACGGGGTTGGATTTAGCTCCGTTCACCACTCTCTGGGTACCACTCCTCCAGCCAGTTCCTTACCCAGCCAAGAGTGTCCAAGCAGTCCGAGCAGGAGAATAGCGTGTGAGACAGTGCCAGAGGCCTTGCTGAAGTCTAGGTAGACAGACTACATCAGCAGCCTTTCCCCCGTCTACCACACGGGTCACTGGATCGTGGAAGAGGTCCGGCTGCTGAAGCAGTGCTGGGTGCCCCCCCGGCGTGACCCGCAGCGCGGTCTGAAGGCTCCGTGTGGCGCAGGTTGCCGGTGGAGGGGATGAGGAACGTGCTGATCACCAGCGCCCTGCCCTACGTCAACAACGTGCCCCACCTGGGCAACATCATTGGCTGCGTCCTCAGCGCCGACGCCTTTGCCAGGTGAGGGGCTTCGCGGTGGGGCTGGCGGGCGGCGCCCGGCGCCGTGCCGACCCGCATCCGCCCGCAGGTACAGCCGGCTGCGGAACTGGAACACGCTGTACGTGTGCGGCACCGACGAGTACGGCACGGCCACCGAGACCAAGGCGGTGGAGGAGGGGCTGACGCCGCGGCAGATCTGTGACAAATACCACGCCGTGCACGCCGACATCTACCGCTGGTTCGACATCTCCTTCGACTGCTTCGGCCGCACCACCACGCCGCAGCAAACCGCGTGAGCAGCTCCGCGTGGCGCGCCGAGGGGGGGGGGGGCAGCCCGCGGCTCCTCGTCGCCGCCCCCTCCTCGTCCCCTCACTCCGCCCGTAGGATTTTTCGGGAGGGGGCGGCTCCCGAATTGCTGCCCCCTGATGGCCGCCGCCTCGCTCCTTTCTCTTTTCTCCTGCTGGTGGGGACAGCCTGGTGCTGTCTGGCGCTGCTGGGTTGCGGTCGTTCCACTCCTTTCACTTTTTCCCCACTGGATTTTCTGGGGGGTGGCTCCCCAGCAGCCCCGACTGCTGCCACCTCGTTCCTTTTTCTCTCCTCCCGCAGGGTTTTCTTGGGGGTAGGGGGGCAGCTTGGAGCTCTCAGGTGGTGCCACGTTCCCACTGCTTCGCTCCTTTTTCTGTCCTCCGGTAGGACTTTCTGTGGGAGGGCTCTCAGGCTGCCTCCGTCTCGTTCCTTTTTTCCCACAGCATTTCCCAGGAAGAGGGGGAAGGGACTCTCCAGCACCCCCTGATTGCTGCTGCCTTGTTTCTCTTCTCGTGCAGGAC